ACCACCGGCGTGATACGACTATTTATACGTATGACTCCGTCACTGCTCCAGACATATGGCCGCCCATTCGTTCGCCAAACTCACCCTGGCTGCGTCAGAAATCGTAACGTTCTTCCTAACGGAAGGTCTTCCAACAGGCGGCTTGCCCGGCGTTCCCCAGTTTTACTACAAGCACGCAAGTTCCAATCTTGGTGGGGGTGGCGCACCTGAGCCACATGGAGGGGGTGGCGTCGATTACTAGCCAATGAACGCTGAATGTAATCCATCCTTCCCAAAAGCCTGTGAGGACTCAACCTGACTACAACTGTTTGCTCGCCAACGACGAGGCATCGAACTGGCCTGGGTAGAATGGTACCATCTTATATGTAACATCCAGACAACTGTCGGGCATGAGACTTCAGCCTTGAGCGGCACATCTGCGTCCCACTCAAAACGTCAATCAAGGTACAAGAACGCCCAGTCCAGTCCCGATCCTGATGATGCAGGTCTTTCGCCCAACTAGGGTCTGCCTCTATCCATTTTTCTTCAGGTCAGTCGTTCATTCGAAAACGTTCGCCTGTCGACTAGATTTCGGTTATTGAGCCGAGCTTGGTTCCTCATCACTCACCGAAGACGTATTCAGGGGCTAAGATAGCAATCGTTACTACCTCGAACGTTTAATTTGTAGATCTTGTTCGAACCGCCGCGCACTAAGACCATCGGCGAACGTTCCATAAATGGCCATACATACTGTCACTATTTGATGGTACGGCTAATCAATTTGGTCCTCTTACGGCGGTCTTCAAACAATTTGAACCGTCTCGAGAAGTATAGAAGCTCCTCCCCATACGAGATGTTCTCTTTCGAGCTCCTGGGAATACTCTCAAGCAGTTGCTTCCAATGACCATTGGTTGCCTTTCTCCCACCAGAAAGCACCACCTCTGGATTTTATCGCACGTTTCCAACCGAGCCTTGACACCTGGGCTATGGAGTACGTAGATGTGCTAAGACACATGCCCGAAACAGTGCGCAAGGGCAAGGAAGCGCGCGTCTATCCGTACACACTTCAACGTAGGCGAGGTCTCAAGCGTTCGCCGCTATATACACGGTCTCGGTGCAAGCGATCCGATAGCAACGCAAAGCAGCGAGACGATACTGTTAGTTCTAAGTGGCGAAAGGGCACACATGAAGTCGAGTGCGGGCTCGGACAGTAGACAGGCACAGGAAAGCCGCTAGTATCGCCAAGGGAAGCAGATGAACAAGAAAGATGAACGATATAGATCGTCTGTCTTGTACGCCGCTATGGCTGCTTGGATTAGTGACCCATCAGCACCCCAACCGACTGTATCTCCTCCGATTCATTCGTACACAACTATCAAAATACCGTCGTTGCGATTATGATGTTTTACCACTTCGTCTATCTGGCTCGACCGGCTCGCCCTTCAAAGTCAGGACGTCCTCCATGGATACATTTTTTGCCAAAGGCTTTGAAACGTTAGGTCTGACCCCTGTCCGCCATGAGAATGAGGTGAACGATCGACTTCTCTCGATTCAGGGAGAACATGTTTTCGTCTGCTTGGATTAGAAAAGTAGTGTCAACAAGCATGTCTTGTTTCTCAGTTGGACTAAAACCTCTCTGTTCGACTCCACTAAGAAAGCAAATCAATGCGGACATTGACGCAGTTGCCCAGACGCATAAGAAACTCACTTTACTGGGTGTTCCTCATGGCGATGTAGAGCTACGCAACATGTTACGCAACGACAGCGTAGCGGGCGGAGGTATTGTGGTGGTGGACTTCGAGCGGACGGATATCAGCCGCCGCTCACCTCTTGGTTCGCTCAATGTGAACCGCCAGAAAAGAAGGAAGCGGAGGGAAATTGACTCAATTGCAGAATCAGGGATACTAAAAGTTTGGGAAAGAACAGGAATCAGTAGTGTCACATATCGAGATATGTCGAAGCTACACAGCAGGAGCCCGCTGTCAAGTTGGCCAGTGGAATGTGAAATATACTGCTTGACGACTCCAAAGAACTGGTCTTTCTCAGCTTGTATGCCTTTAGATGCTTGTAATAGTGACAAAAGACAGCCTAAGACACATTGAAAGGACGAGTATATGAAGGAGAAGTGGTATTATAGGGAGTCATGATAAACAATCGGGGGCCGCCTATGTCGAGCCGCCCCGACTGACCAGTCTTCATCCCTCAAAAGAGCGGGGGATCGCCGGCGAGATCAATAGGCGGGCAGAGCCATGTTGCCAGGACTTAGCTGCGACAAAACTGTCTCAACACGGGACGCTGTTGCGAAGACTTGCGCGACAGCCGTGCAGCGTGTTTCCGTCATCAGCCATGGTATCCTGGCTGGGGATGTACGCATTCATTCTGAACAATGATAAGTGCGAGAGGCATTGGCTTCGGAGTACAAGTCCGACTTCCACAGATGCGTAAAAGGATTGAAAGGCCGGAAATCCAAGTAAGCGACGTAATAGATTCGACTATTTCTCAGTTAGATTGGCTCGGCAAATGGCAACAGTTCACTTACATGACGAACGCTGGGAATGCCATCATCAGAGCATTGTGATAGTCTTGATTGTAGCCTAGCTTCAAACACATGCGTTGTGAATGCTTCATAGCTTGAAGCATCGAGTCTCCAAAACCATCCACAAGATCGAGGGGCACACAATAGCGTTCCTGCAAACCATTGTAAACTAATTCGTCCGGGTCAAATCGTTGAAATACCACCCAATGGATCATTCTACATCCAAATTCGAATTCTGGATGCAGCGCGGCGTCCCCTTCAGAAGCTATATCAGCTGCCAAGTGAGCATTCATCCGTGACAAGAGTGGTTTCGAGTGGCCGGCCGCTTGGGGTCCTGGGACGAGTTGGTATTCTTGGCCTGGGCATCTTGGGCCGACTTCGCTTTTGAATTGGTTTACCTCCACACCAAAAGTCATGGATCTTGTGTGCAACGGGGTGTCTCCTCCGGATGCTGCAACAGATACGGGGTGATCATTGGACCGTGGCAAGAGTGCCCTCAAGCGGCCGGTAGTCCGTGATCTGACGGGGTCTCTACGCTGTCTTCGATAAGAGCATGCCATCCTTCGCTTTTGGAAGTGTTGATATGGCGATCCCGAGCTGCATTTCGTCTTGGACCTATAACATTGATCGCATACTTAAGAAGAATGAATAAGCTTTTGTTGCTAGTCCAACTCGAGTCCTTACTTTCTCAAGACCATGAAGGAATAACAAACAAGATCAAAGAGTCCTTGAGACCTCGACTTACTTTTTGAATTCGTGGTTCGTCTGCAGGTACGCATTCTTTGCATAGCTGACCTCCTTCTATGTTTCCAGCAGCGCTGGCAAATCCTGGCAGATCATTAGATTGTAGTTATAGAGAGCTGAGAGCTTACTGACATGGTAGACTTCGCCTTCGTATCGAGGAGCCTGTGGCGTGTACGACTTCCAGAAAAGTCCCGAGGCAAGGAAAAAGCTGCTTATTTATATCAAGGGCGCCGAGGCTCCAACCAATCAGAGAGAAACAGTTGGTGCTGGTAGTAACGAGGCACTCAGTCCAGATAACTGGGGATTCAGGGATATTGTCATCTACAAGGCACATGCCTAGGCCCCCAAATCTGGGTTTCTCTCAGTTTGGTACGATGACGGAAATAACAGTATCCGTGATATATTCCGGACTCTCAACGCCAGTGGTATAATGTAAGTTTCACATTGAATGAGTCCAGCAGTCTGAGGATGCTGGCCAGTCTGGCCTTGAAAGTGTTTCTCAAACCCTTAGGTGCTTTTCATATCGCTCCAACCATGGATACTCGCGAACAGGTTTCTGATACCGGCATGCTCGTCGCCGCTGTGTCTCCCAGCCTTCTTCCCATTTTTACCCCAGTCTACTTCCAGAAACGAAATTAAGACCTCCTGCCAAGTAGATGATTTTGATGGGCGGTTACTTGGCTCATAAACACCCCCGCCGGAGCTTCTGGAGCTAATGCTACTACAAGATAGGCCAGCAAGCCACCATGACCCCCGTCTTGCTCGGAGTACGTACATATACGCATTACCCGACTCACCGACCTAAGCCACTTCGAGTGTGAACAATAACTCCGGGAGGCAACGAATACCGAGATTACATTGGGCGAAGATCTGCTGGTGTTCTACTGCGCAGCCCTGAGTGAACACCATGCGCGCGGCAGCCACGCAGTTCTGTTTACTGGCGGATTTTCAGTGGAGAGTCAACGGTTTGGTTTTGGGCACCAGTTCCAGAACTCTCTCGATCCGACCGATGCAGTGAGTGGAGTTCTCATAATTTCTTTGCTACATTGATTCCTTCGACGCCAGTGTCATATCCACGGGCCCGGGAGGAAGTGTTTAGCGTACCAGAAAGATCTCCCTCCATCCAAGTCGCCATAGCTTCATCCTCTCGTCGCGTTTAAAGAGAAAACTTTCGGGTTCAAGTTTTCATTCAGATGTACATTTTACGTGTAGACCGCAGTTAACGAAGAGTCGGACATCAAAGTGAGAAAGTTTAGGACAGTCGGCATGACATTCGTTCGAGCAGAATCATGGTTCATCCTTCAAAAGTAAGTAATGCCCGCCGTTAAGAGGGTTTTTGAGCAACCCTGTAGTCTCAAGAACCTCGCGAAGACCCTCTTCTGCCTTGCCAAAGCAGTACCCCAGAATTGTAAACTCTAGCTTCTCATCGGCCTTTGTGGATGATGGTTCCTAAATATCCAGGTCTGGCACTGTCAAGATGCGCCTCCCCTCCGAAGGGGTGGAGGTCAGGTACGTCGAAGCCTCAAGGTTGGGTGGATTATTCTCTATGTCTACGGTAATGAAATGATAATCAGACGAGGTACATTAGATAGATATATGCGATACCTCAGGGTAGAAGAAACCTAGAGGTCTTCACAGGCCGGCCTGTATTGTGCGAAACGATCCGCGGCCTCGCAATTGCACCGTCGTCGCTCATATCGTACTCTCGGAAGTAGTGTTGGCCTGAAATATCATCAAAGAAGTAGGCGCGGTATGTCTCAGAGGCACGTAGACCTAGGTACGATATCCATCCAATATGCTCTCGCGGAACCGCGGGGCTACTGATGTGATCCGGGAGTAGAACCGTGCTGGCAGGCTCGCTGATTGACCTTTGCATACGAGCGTCCAGGTCGTTAAACAAGACCATCAATCGATAGGATATTTCTCTTTCTGCTGCACTGAGAGTCTCTCTACGTATAATCTGATCATACAGGTGGTCTAGGAAAGTCCTGTGACTCTGGATGCTCGAAGAGGTCAGATGGGTCTAGCATTGAGTCAGCCAGAGCGGGAGGTCGTGCGTCTGAACAGGGTTTTGTACCTTCAGGTCCCGTCGTTTGTCTGTCAGAAACCGACAGTTGTCCATGATGCACCGGTATATTCCCTTTGGTCGAGATTTGTCTGTCTCTGAGGGTGGGCAGCAGTGAGATGATGGAAGTGAGGAAGCCGGGATGCAAGTCTGGCATAAGCCGCGAATGCAAAAGTCGGCTGGAGTGGTTTTATGAGCAAGATAGTAGTATAACTGCAGCGAGGTTTCTGTCAGCTTTCCGTTCCACTCACACAAACATCGCACTGACGTACCTCAGACGCTTGCGGTCGAGTGAACCCCGGATCCTTTTGGGTATCCAGCGGAACGGGCTGTATTCCTTGTAAGCGACTCGATTTCAACAGGAAAGGGCGACTGAACGCATACTATTTGCAGGGCTTTCCTGTCCTGCTCGAGGAACAGAGTTCCGGGTATGGGCGTGGCTTTCCATTTCAAGGAACAAACGCAGCATACATACTTCCGCGGCCAACCTTCTGTCATGAACTCGTCCTCTTGATCCTTCCATCCTACTCCATGACCGTATCTTACTCGAATATCAGACGAGCCATAGAAATCGACGCTCCAACCCTTTTTGATGCTATCTCCGCCAGCGACGGATACCGAGCCGTCAATGACGGGTGGAAGGCCGATTCCCTGGGGCGAAGGCTGGCTACGAACTCCTTGAACATAGTTCCCAACGTCGCCTCTTATCGAGAGCAAAACTTGTACAGGCTCGCGCTCTGCTACAAGTGTAGATGGTTTAATAGTTGCAGCTGGAAAATCCGCTCGTTTACCTGGCGGCGGCGTGACGATATTTCTTTCCGGCGCCTTCTCACAGCTGGCCCAAAATCTGCCACCGTGTCTCCGGAGACCATGGGGGATATACGAGCTGCTGTTGTATTCTGTGGATAAGGGGTTCCAGCCAGGTAATGTAGAATCTATCGGGCTGTTTGATGATAGAGTTACGGACAGAAGGGAGTTCGAGGATTTGCGCATATTGGCTGGATAATCTAGCTTGTTCGTGCTTTGTTCTGATGGGTTGGCGAGTGACATTTTTCTGCAGATCTGGGAAGCGTTCGCGGTTACTATCATCACTGCCCCATTAGCAAAATAGGGAGGCTTCGGGGAGCCTTCAGAGCAGTCCCATTGACTGCCAGCCTCATGACGAGAAGAGATGGCCCTGTAGTTTGTCTAGACAGAGTCGTAACAGTAACATCAAAGTCGAAAGGAGCTGTAGGCCTAACGGGGATCGTATTCACTTACCGCTCATG